CTCTCTCTCTCTCTCTCTCTCTCTCTCTCTCTCTCTCTCTCTCTCTCTCTCTCTGTCCCTCACTCTAACCATTCTTGACTCATTGGTTTTCGAGTTGGTAAAACAGTTTACCGTAACGAGAAAATCTCGTTACAAGTGCTTACAACTACTTTACCCCTACTACCGTTCCGAACAGTGAACCCGGTAGGTATCTCAAAAAATTAGATGTGTTACGCGTGCGTGCGAAAAAGTGGTTCTTTACGCACTTGTAATACAGTATACTATTTCATTCTAATAATATAAATAGTGTGCTACTTTGTAAGTGGAAATATGGAGAAAAGGAAGAGTAGTCCATATGATTTTCATCAGTAATCGCAAATATCTTCAGTTTATATTTAAAATTTTGTTAACCTATGGAAAAATGTCATTCGAAAATTATCGATCATTAAAGTTTATACGATAAAATAAATGATGCGTGAATGAATTTTTGAATTCATTTTGAATTATTTCTATGTATTAAGATCACGGGTGGCAGCTACGGCCCTAACGGTCTCTGCCTACCGTAGTAGAAAATCATGGGAGGTTCCGCTAGGGGGAGCGGTCATTTCTTTTCCGAGGGTTAAAACAGAAGAAGATACAGATTTATGAAAAACGTATTAATGCACTGCTAATACCGACTGTCGCATGCAGGCGATCACCTGCTTGGTCTACTTTAACTATAGCCGAATCTTCGAACAAGTTAATTAAAAATGACAGACAGACAATAGAGGCCTATCATTCCTGACGTATTGTATACAGATTAAATTATAATTTTATGAAATCCTGCTCAGGTTGCTTGTAATCCACTCGTGGCCCCCTGTCTCTTCAACCTTAAGAAGGACCCCTGTGAGATGATAAATATCATAGGGAAACACCCCGAAATTGCTCAAATGTTGGAGCAATTGCTCAAGGAGCATAAAGGCACTACACTTCCAGCTGCTAATATACCTCGGGACAATAATGGAGATCCAGCTAAGTGGAACAATCTCTGGGTTAATTGGAAGGATTCGCAGCCTGCAATGACACCCTTTACTACTCCCCCGATTGAGACTTCTCCAGACAGTCTTTCTTCTTCAAATAGAATTATCATTACTATTTTAGGATGTTTACTGATTTATGCTGGATTTTTCATAATTAGTTCAATGATCAGGAATCGTAATACGAGAAATTCGATTGGTCAGAAAAATTATCCTGAAAATGTCGACGAACTGGCGAGTGAGATTGCCGAAATTCAGTAGATGAGCGAAGCAAGAAGTGGAAAATTGGAAATTCAAAACCCTCGCCGAAAAAGTTGTGAATTCACTGAGTGTAACCCTCAAGTACGCGCGCAATATACCATTATTGTGACCTGACTTGTGATCCCAGCCGCTGGGCCCGCCAGTATGCGATATAGTCGATATGCTGACAGCAAACAGTATGAAATTCATGTAGACAATTGAAACTTAAACATTTTACGTTTTTTGTTGTACTGAAATCGAATTTGTAAATTAGGCCGCAATATAGTTTGTGACGAGGGAACTTACATTCCCCACACACTAGCCCCCTAAAATTATAGACGCCCGCCACCGTTAGCCACCCTCCAAACCCCCTCACTACCTCTTCCC